CTCAGAATATTTCAGTCCCAAAGGGATACTTGAACAATTAAGAGACAGCATTGGGAAGCATACTCTACATGCTTTAAATATCATTACAGCCTTTGCATAGCTTGCCTAATGTCTCAGTAACACTCATTTGCCAATCTTTGTCTCCATAAAAAGCAATACAGAGAGGGGCATGTTAAAGAGTCATAGGGAATTGTTAATGTGTGAATTAAAAACTCCCTCTTTCCTTAGGTTCTTCCATTTCTACTTTCTTGCCAGAGGAACTTCTAAAGAGGGAAGGACTCAACTGCAAAGCTATATCCTTCTTTAATATTCTAGCTCATTCTTTTCTTTAGACACTGGACAATCCGTTAAATTGTGGAGAAGAGAATCCAATACCTAGCACTTTTTCTTCACAGAGAAGAATCTTTGCCAGTTACCATGATCAGGTCAGGGCAAAAAAAGAATGCTGTTTTTTTTTTGTCTAGAAGCATGTTTTTATACTTCTTTAAGTGTTCATGTATCAGGGAAGACAGTTGCATGATTGCTTCAGTTTCCCATCATTAATCAGCATGTCTGGAGAAGATCTACATTCATTACTGCTACCCAACCCCAGGTCATCAGGATTAGAGCAGCATATAAATTCTGAAAAATAAGTAAATAACTGTACATGACTGTACCTGAAGAAAAAATTTAATATAGGAAAATGATGTATTTGATATGAGGAAACACAAACAAAAGCTAAAAACACTTCTTAATACAGACAGCACCTGATTCATGAGCCTTGCATCTCACAGTAATATTCTACTAATAAAGAATAACTGGATGTTGCAAACGGCCCTTTTACACCAATCTAAATTGCCAGATGCAATCCAGAGTGCCAGTTGTTGCCTTTAAGGCTTATATGATCTAGATCAGAGCAGGCTCAGCATTTAAAATGTTGAGGTCACCAGCTGGAAAGCCAACAGCCCAAGTTCAAAACCCAAGCACGAGGGAGTGAGTTCTCATTACTTGCCCAGCTCCTGCCAACCTAGCAATTCAAAAGCATGCAAATGCAAGTAGATAAATAGGTACCACTTCGGTGGGGACCATATTTTCACGCTTGGCATATGACACAGAAGCATCTAGATAACACATTCCTTCAGCTAAGAATCAAAGATGAGCACCCCCCCTCCAGTCAGTCATGACTGGACAGGCAAAACCTTTAATTTTTTTTTCAGATTCTAGACCAGCTATCTGAAGGCCACCATCTTCTGTATTCCTCCAGATTCTGTTTCTAGGAGAATGCCATTTCTTGGCCCTTCAAAGCAGCTATTTTCAAATACCACTCCCACATTTTGGAATTCCCTCCCCACCAAAATCTCATATTTACACACACACCCTTCTAGGTTTCAGTACAGCAGTTAAGATCTGATTATTCCAACAAGGAAAGCCAAACCCGAGATTTTCAACTCTGTAAAAATTAACAACATATGCTAAAAAATTAGACTGAAGATTAAATAAATATTAAGTGACAAAACAGAACCTTTAAAAATGATTTAATGGAACCAAGTGCTAACATCAATGCATTTTTCTTGCCAATAGCACTATACCATAGCTACTAAGAACATATGGCATGTATTCAGTAATCACCATCATTGACATTTGAAATCTGATGGAGAATCAATATGGAAGTATGCAGGGTGATAATATGCTTAGGAAAACTGTACCACTGGACAAAGGGAAGCTATCCAAATATTTCTCAGTTAGAGGCTTTGAAAATAATACCCTAGCCTTTGATAACAACATTAGCAACTTCTGTTGGCTATCCTAGAAATAGAAGAAAGGGTTTTAGTTCAAATTAATTCATTAATTCAAAAAAAAAAAAAAGAACCCCTTGGGAGTTAGAAAAACATGTATTTATTATGCTTAGTTAAGGATCATCCTAATAAATGGATCCGTAAAGTAACTAGACAGAACTAATATTATCTCATCACTGAAAATGATTTTCATTACATTACAAACATTCCTTTTGAATTAGTCTATCAATACCTGTATTTATTAAAATTTCATAACAAATTAGGATTTATACGCTCCTTTCTTATAAATGTCCTGAGGTAATGAACAGTAGAATAAAAGCAGTTATGAATCACCATTCAAAAATAGTAGCAAGCAAAAGAAAGCAAACATAAAATATTTCTCAAAGGAAAAATCATTAGAAATGCAAATAAAATAGAAATGCATTTAAATAATGCATTAGTGTATTGTCATCAGTGTGTCATATATATTAAAATAATAAATCAAAGTCAAATCAACCTAGGTTTGAACATAGCTACTTGTCAGGTTGTCTAAGAATTGTCTCTAAATATCACAAGACAACACTTTATAAAACCAAAATCATGTGTGTCAATCAGAAGTAGTATTCAGTAGGTTCTGACCAGTTCTGGAGAACTGGTAGCAGAAATTCTGAGTAGTTCGGAGAACCGGAAAATACCACCTCTGACTTGCCCCGCCCCCATCTATTCTCTGCCTCCCGAGTTCCAGCTGATTGGCTGGATCTCCTTTCGTTGCCTTGCACAGGAGAACAGAGCTGGAAAGCAGGTTAGTAAAGTGGAAAGAGAATGGGATTTTGCAGTAACCTTCCCCCCAGAGTGGGGTGGGAATGGAGATTTTACAGTATTCTTCCCCTGCCACCCCCACCAAGCCACGCCCACAGAACCACCAGTAGTTAAAAAATTGAATCCGACCACTGGTGTCTATGTATCATTTAGTATGTTGACAAAAGAGCAATGGATCAATTCATTCAATTTTAAGTGTGCAGATTTTCAAGCAGATACTACTGAATTTAAGTTTATTACCCAAGAGAATCATGTAAGATTATAATCATATGCATACTAGCAAAAAAAGTCAGAGAAAAGCACTTTTGCGCAGAGAAGGTGAACATTTCTCTAAAGGCAACATTTCTTAGGTAACGGTTGCTCATACCAATTTGTTAGATCCTATCCTTCTTAAAAAATCTGTACAAAAACCCATTTAACATCTTTTCACAAATCCATTTTCGTCTTGTAGAGTTCTTTTTTTCATTGGAAATAATAGAAAATTAACTCCTGCAGACTTCAGAAAATAGAGTTCGTACTAGTCATTTCAAGAAACGTATCTTTTTTTTTCCTTTGTAGAACCATAAAGCCTTTGCATGCCATTAGTCCTACATGCTAGTAAAATTACTCTTCAAAACTTCCATACAACAGCAGGAAATGCTCAGTGGCTCAGCATCTCAATCTGTCTGATTATGTCCTTTCTCTTTATTACAGTATAAATATGTTCTTCTTTACCAGACATGGGCATTTTACAGCCCCCCAGGCCAGATCCAGCTCTTTGGCTGTCACTGTCCAGCCATGAGGTAAATTGGAAATTAGATATCAAATGTAATTAACAGTACACCATGCACACAATAAAACTTCATTGCTTTTGTTTTGAGGGTGGCTACTATTTTTTTCAATTTATGCATGTGAGTGTCCCTATTCTACTTTCACAATCTTATTGCTTAACCCTTCAAAAAGTTCCAGTTTTTCATGTAGCCCCTTGAGAAAATTAATTGCCTACCCCTGCTCTACAGTTTAAAAAAAAAAGAACTTTAATTAGTATAGAAATGCTATCCTATTTTACATTTCGTAAAACACCAATTTACAAGAACTGTAATAAGAACATCATTACAATAAGGAAAAGCCTAGTTAACAAGCCAAAGGCCTGAAAAACATGTGCCACAACAAGGAAGAAACTAATTAAAAGTTACTATATCAAAAGTCTTTATCTCTGTAGGCAGTAAAATAGTGTAAAGAGGGAATAGTTAAAAGAGGGACTAAGGAATCTATGGCCTATCAAGTATTCCACAATAACAATTCCAACCTTGACTCCTGGCCATGTTGCTGGGGCCTCACAGGAATTGGGAGTCCATTAACATCCAAAGGGGACACGTGTTCTCACTAAATCATCTTAGATGTATTATTATATATTGTTATTTCCAATGGCAACTTCCTCTCTATCAAGGAGCAAGACTCTCATAAAGAGAATGCAGATATAGACATGAATTAAGGGATTAAAAAGTAACATTTCAGACTACAAAACTGATCATTAGATGGAAGCCAAATCCAGCTGCAAGAAAATAACAAACCTAAGTGATGCATTTCTCTTTGCCCATTATTTGGATTTTTAATCAAATCTTTAATCAAAATATTGTCAAAGAAATTCAAGTAAGACAGTCAAAAGGAAAAACAAAACAAATAATCATTTATAATTATCTTTGTGTGAAAATGCAAGGTGTTAGCATTAAAAGGGATAAAAACACTGCATGTAAACAGAAAGACTAATGTTTAAAAATGGTTTCAGAAGAATACAAGTATTTCAATTATTACAGAACAAAGCATAAACTAGGACCTGAGGATCAGCCCCATTAAATTCAATGGGACTTGCTTCTGAGTAAGGCTATTCACAAGATACATCAACCATAAAGCAGCACAGGTTAACTAAATTTATTGTGCAATCTCAGCCAGTTAAGTATGTTGTGCAAACTCAGAAAACTGGGCTAAGTTTACCATAACCACGTACATCCTTATATGCTGACTAATCATAATGCTACAGAATTATAATATATAACATATACCTTAATGTGATAAGCAAATGACAAATTATAAATGTTGTCAGGAAATAACTCTTGCAATGAGATCTCATTATTCTTGTCTTGTGGGAAAAGTTATTTTAAATAGAATGGAAACTGGATGGCTAATCTGAAGAACAGTAGGAATGTATTTATAACGCACAACTGTTTACAAAAGAAACTGAGTCTCACAGATGTCGCTCAACTGAAGACATGTGACATTAAAAGAATCACATCTAAATATGACGCAGTTATCAGAGTTTAACAGTACTGAAATAACATGGGTGAAGGATTGATTGCAAGAGGTTTAAACAGGTTTTTTCTGGGGGGGGAGGGTTATTAACAGGCAGAATATTATTGTAAATCCTTACTAAATTAATTGAGAACTTACCTAAATTTGCCCATGTAGATTGTTGGAAATTCTCATCAAGCTCTACCACTCAGAAACAAATTTTGCCACTGCTCTTCTGAAACAGAGAGGAATCTAAACTTTTCTAATTGTTGTTGAGCTTCATCTAGAAAAGCAATGTCCTCTAATAACAATGGATATTTCCCTTTTGTTTTCCCACCTTTCCAGCACTGCAGTGTTCTCTAACCTTCTAGACTAGAGCAATACAGGAAGGGGGGAGCCACATATATTCTATCATCAGCAGGCCAGCATTAGACAGAATGAGGGTGTGCAAAAAATTAAAATGATTTTAGGTCAAAGAACTGATTTCAAGATTGATTCTTTTCCCTTAGGTCCAGATTAGGTTTTTCTTGCCATAGGCACAAGGAAGTTTTATGCTTGAGACATCTTCTGGAGAGTCAGAATCATCTATTTCAGTTTCTAATCTGCTATTTTAAAGTTTCAAGAATTTTAATGTCAAGGGGATCATTTACGTATTTACCCTCAAGGAAGACCAGACATCCCCAAATACTGGGAAGATTTCTGAACTGGCTAACAGCTAATATTTATCTGCTAATTTGGTATTCATATCCAATATCAGTTTTCATTTCAATATTTTTCAACAGTGGTTATATTGAAAACAAGTGGTATAGAAAGAACCGAGCCACAGAAACAAATCTACTACGATCAAATTCCTTACTCTGTAACAACGCCAACAAAGTAATCGATTCTAGTAACAAAGATAAAAATCTTACATTTTCACAGAATATATATATATATATATTCAGGAAATACTATCCTCCAAAGCAGGGGTTTTTTTCCCCCCTCCCAGGGGTACATGAAAACAGATACTTTTTACCCCTTCTGTATTGGAAATATTACGCAACTATTCACCACTATCATATATTAGCATATATTTACCACTAGCATATATTTAGCGACAACTTTCAATCCAGCACCTATTATAAAGCCTAGCCGCCTCCGAATTACTGTATTCTGATATTTTCCTTCTTCTTGGAAAAACAGACACGAAGTTTGCACTCGATTCCGTATGACTTTTGCTGAGACAGATCTCACTCACGCGAATTTCCCCTTCCACCTCCCCCCAAAGGCCTGCGAGGAATAATTTAAAAAAAAACAAAACCCAAAAAGGCAGAAGGAGGTTGGGAACCGACTCGGCCGGAGGGACCAATTCACAATTCACCAGGGGATTCATCCCCCGCCCACCCAAAAAAAGAGCCTTTTTCTGAGTCGATCAGGAAAAGTGTCGTTGACAGAAACAAAGTAAACAGTAGAAAAAAAAATCTACCACCACGAACAGGAGTAACGACACCCCCCACCCAAAAAACTTCTCCGGATTTGACAAAAGCCGTCCCGGCTCCATCAATAGTTCCCTTGGTGGCAATACGTTTATTTTTATTTTGTTTTTTTATTTATTTTCCTTTTTTCCCTGGTGATACAACCCCCCCCCCCCCCCCCCGACTTTTGCTGCAAGCAGCAAACGAAGCGCAGCTGCAGCCCCGAAAAAAAAAAAGGGCTACAGCTCCATTTTAGAAGCGGGATCCAGGCCGGCAGGCCGTAAATGCGAGACACCCTGGTCTTCTCGCACTTGTGGGACAGGCGAAGAAGGCGCTTCCCAGGCCGAGGGAGGGAAGAAGGGCTGCGGGGGCTTGGCCTGCGCTCCGGGCAACTTACTTCCCAGCAAACATGCCCCCGTTGGAGTCTCCCGTTGGAGTCTCTTTGTTCTTCACGCTTCCCACAGACCCAAGGCGGCTGCCGCAGCCCCCCCCCCCCCCCACAGCTTATGCGCCGTTCCTCTCAGCAGGCTGGGAATGATGGGCGTTGCAGTCCCCGCCGCCCTGTGAGGAGGAGGCTGGGCTACACCGCCCGGAGAAGGAGAGAGAGGGACCCAAAGGGGGAGAGGGGGGGGGAAAGGCAGCCCTCCGGAAAGAAAGAGAGGCGGAAGGGGCGTTACCTGGGCCTCAGTCGGGACCCCGCCGGGGGGGTTGCGCCGTCGCCGCGGCCGGCCTGCGAGGGGGCCTCACCGCCCCCCCTCCCCCTCTTCTTCCGCCTCCGTTGCCGCCGCTCTTCTCCTCGCTCCGCCTTCTCCGAGAGAGAGGGGGGAGGGGGAGGGGCGGCGCGGCTCCCTCACGGCGCGCGCGCGCGCGCAAACGGCCTCCAGGTGCGAGGGACGTTCCGAGCGACGACGACGGCAACCGCCGCCTGCGTCGTTTGTCGTCGTGTTGTTGTTGCTGCTGCCGCAGACGCGTCCAGTCAAGCCCCACCGCGCATGCGCCACATCCGGGTTTTTTTTTTTTTTCCCCTCCCCTTCTTTCCTCCCCCGCCTTCTCTCTCCCTCTCTCTCTCTCTCTCTGGCTCCCGTGTTCGTTCTCTGTTCCCCAATGGGCTCCGCAACCCTATCTCCCCAGTCGAGGTGCGCATGATCACACTCGTCCCATGACCCGCTGGAAGATTTCCCTGGAGAACGACGCGGGCGGGCGCGGCTGTGAACTTTGGGAAAAGCTTTCTTAGGGAGGGCGGCGGGCGGGAGAGAGATGGGACGAGTGTGTTTTCTTAGGTTCGTAGTTGCCGACCGCCCTCAAAGAGAACGGGAAGGGCAAACTTGGCTTGCTTTCTTGCGGTGCTGTATAACAGCTTAACAGAGTTGGAAGGGACCTTGTTAGGTCATCTAGTCCAACCTTTCTCCCAAACAGGAGGCCCTACACCATTTCTGACAGATGGCAGTCCAGTCTCTTCTTAAAAGGCTCCAGTGATGAAGCTCCCGCAACTTCTGAAGGCAACTTCTGTTCCATGGGTTGATTGTTCTGTCAGAAAATTTATCCTATCCCTAAGCACAAATTGAGTTTGGGGGGATTCTGGGAGTTGAAGTCCAGATATTTTTAAAATGTTAAAGATTAAAAAAAAACCACAGCTCTGTTCAAAAACCTTTGGGGACTTAAAGCAAAAAGCATCTTCCCGTCTTTCAAGCTTTTTGAAACTGTAAGATAGCCAGGAATAAGCAAACATTACCTGCTCACATACAGTGCCAAGTAGTCCTCAACTTACAAGCACAATTGAGCCCAAAATTTATGTTACTAGGTGAGAAATTCGTTAAGTGAATTTTGCCCCATGACTTTTCCTGCCATATTTGTTAAGTGAATCACTGTAGTGGTTCAATTAGTAACACAGTTGTTAAGTGGAACTGGCTTCCCCATTGAATTTGCTTGTCAGAAGGTTGCAAAAGAGGATCACATGACCCCAGGACACTGCAACCGTCATAAATGTGAATCAGTTGCCAAGCATCTGAATGTAAATCACGTGACCATGGGGATGCTGCAACGGTCATAAGTGTGAAAAATGGTCATAAGTCCATTGTAACTTCGAATGGTCACTACGTGACTTGTGAGCTATTTTACTACAAGTCCACTCGGATTTCTCACCTTCTGCATTGTAGCTTTGCTGTTTGTTTTTGTTTGCTCTCACGTAAGAATAAGAAAATTAAAAGCAAACCATGAAAAGGACAAAAGCAATTTAATATGCATTTATTATTTATTAAATGCATGTGGCGCTTTTTTTTCTTATTTTTCTCAATTTTTTCCTCATCCTTGCCTGGATGCCTCCTGTAAAAAGACTAAAAATTCAAGGGAGGCAAAATCCCTCTGGCTTTTTCTCCTGCCCCGTTTCAACGGATTTCCAGACCAATTAAAAGGCAGATGAAAAATGCCTGTGACAATTTTTTGGATTTCAGAGTTCAGAATGCTCAGAGGAAAATCCAAAAACTGGTCCTCCAACATCTGTATCAAAATGGATGAGTGTTTAGCTCATATTGTTAAGGAGAAAAGACAGAGCTCCCATGATTATTGCAATAAATTTTATTTGGCTCCCAGCATGGAACAAGAGGAAAACTTTGATAAACTCAGTTTGTTCTACTTAAAAAGGCGAGATGGGACATACAGGTAGCCATGACAATTGAATGCAAAATTTCCATCACTAAGCAAAACAGTTGCTAAGTGAGTTTTGCTCCATTTTATGCCCTTATTAAATGAATCACTGTAGTTGTTTAGTAAATAACACAGTTGTTAAGTGGCTTCCCCATTGATTTTGTCTGTCAGGTCGCAAAAGATCATTTCATGACTCCAAGATATGCAACCATCATAAATGAGCCAGTTGCCAAGACTCTGAATTTTGATCATGCAACTGTGGGGATGCCGAAATGGTTTATAAGTATGAAAAATGGTCATGTCACTTGTCACAATGCCATGGTTAACTTTGAATGGTCACTAAATGAGTGGTTTTAAGTCCAGGAATACCTGGACTTAGAATCCATCCAAATCGTGCTCTATTTATATGGGAAAGACTCAACCTTTGTACCTTTCGTGTCTGCAGAGTATAAAACCAGATCAAGGGTATTTGAGTGAAGGTGGGACCACAACAGTGTAGAGGCGGTTTTAACTCCTGGATGCCCTTGGATGGAAAAATAAAAAAGGCAAGAACAGGTTTTTCTAAAAGAGGATAAACCACGTCACAATGTGTCTCGATTCCTCAAAGTTCTTTTGCTGTGCCAGTAAATGAACTGCAATGCCCCAGGGAGTGAAAACATCTACCCTTAATGACTAATACTACTCTTCTTACCACACACACACACACACACACACACATAAAAAGCACACCAAAACTGCTTACCAAAGCGTTTCAAAACCACAATTGGTTCTCGGTAGCGTTTATTTCTGAAATTAGTTAAGTTGCCACATCTGAATTGCATCAACTAACCCAAGTTATGTAATCTCCAAGCAAATCCAGACTCCTTGGAGTTGGCCCCATCTGTATTCTATGTCTGGAGTCTAGAGCTTTTTTTTGTGATTTAAGAAGTTTGTCATCTATTTTATTTATTTTCTTGTGTGTATTTTGTATTTTCAGCAAAAATGTTCTGCATATATCACACTTCCAGAAAATGCTGATTGTTCAAATTTAGTCACAGAGATTATTATTATTATTTTTTGAAAAATCAAAGGGACTCCAAATTTGGCCACTTTAAGACTTGTGGGCTCCAACTCCTACCCTGCTTCCCAAAAAATACAACCTACCCTGAAAGTAAGTCCTAGCTTGATTTTTATACGTGTGCCCAATATAAGCCCTACCCCCCTCCCAAATAAGCCCTAATTAAGATCCAGCCTACTCCAAAGTGGACAGGTAAAAATTAAGCTAGGATGGGGATGAGGGTAGAAGCTGCCCTACTACTTACCTTTGGACAGTTGTCGCCAGGCCTCACACACCCCAACACCTGCCTTGCCGGCCCATTTCTTCTGCAGTCCACAAGTTTTACCATTCCCGAGTTTAGCACACTCTTATATGCTCTCTGCGTTAAGATGACAAACTCTCCCAACGAAATAACTGTATGTTTTCTCAAAGCATGTTCTCTACCCCGACTTCAGTTATTCCCATGTATAGGCAATCCTCGACTTACAACAGTTCATTTAATGACCGTTCGAAATTATGACAGCACTGAAAAATGAGAATTATGACCATTTTTCAGAGTTACCTCTGCAGCATTCCCATAATCATGTGATTAAAATTCAGATGGTTGCTTGTAACTCAATAAAAATGTTAAACCAGAAAAAAAAAAATCCTTCCTCATTTCTCTTGCCCCTCTTCCTCCCCAGTTTCCCTATTTACTTTTATATTTTGAACCTTACAGTATTTTATAACTCAATAAAATTGTTAAACCCGAACGTTCCGATGGTTGGCTGTTAATTCCTATTTACGACCGCTGCTGTGTCCCGAGGGTCATATGATCCCCTTTTGTGACCTACTGACAAGCAAAAGTCAATGGGGAAGCCACATTCGCTTAACAACCAGGTTACTCACTTATCAACCGCAGTGCTTGGCTTAACAACGGTGGGAGAAAAGATTGTAAAGTGGGGCAAAACTCACTTAACTAATATTTCACTTAGCAACAGAAATGTTGGGCTCAATTGCGGTCGTAAGGCGAGGACTACCTGTATTCCTAAACGTTTAAAAAAACTGCAGCCTTCATTCATGAAGGCCCTCAATTCCAAAGAGCTAAAACCCTTAGCTTGTCTTACAAGGGAGGCATCCCTCTTGCAGAGAGACGCCTAGCACACAAAGCAATGGTGCTATTCTACCAGTTCGGCCTGGTTCTGGTGTACCGGTAGCGTCAAAGATCAGCCGAGACCAAATCGGTTCTCTCTGAGGAGCTGCTGTTGGGCCCCCTGCCCCGCATCCTCCCATCCTGACCTTCATTCCCTGCTTTTGAAGCACAGCTGCTTTCCGCGGCACAGCCAATTGCTGCGCGTCAGCTGTTGAAGCGGCAGGGAGAGTGCCGGATTGCAGGTGGTGAGTAGGAAAGCCTCTGTGCCAGTGGTGGGATTCAAATATGGTTGCCACCGGTTTGGTGGGTGGGGCTTGGTGGGCGTGCTTTGCCCGCGTGCACAAACTTAGCGTGCATGTGTGCGCCAAATGCGCAGTTTGCGCAGGCGCTGAGGCGTTTGCACAGGCACAAAGGCATTCTAACTGGCCTCCTGCAAGCCTGCACGATCCCAGTTGCTTCAGCAGCTGCCGTGGGGCACTCTTCTGTGCCGCGCAAAGCAGCTGTGCTTCAAATTCAGCGGATAAAGTTGAGTATGGAAGCCGGGTGGGTGGATAGGCCCAATAGCAGAGTGGTGGATAGAACCGGTTTGGTCTCCGCTGCTCATCACTCCTACCAGCTCGTCAGAACCAGGTCAAACCAGTCGAATACTACTACTCTGCGCATGCGCTAAATGTGCTTTTGGTGCATGCCCGCCCACCAAGTCACACCCACCGGACCGGTGGTAAACCACTTTCAAACCCACCACTGAAGCAAATCCCATTTAATCTGTGTCAACATTACAAATGCTTGCAAAATGGGTCTTGTGAAAGAATAAAGTGGAGCAACGGATGATGACCTCCTTTTACCGGTCCACAATAGAAAGCGTCCTCACACATTGCATGACGGTGCGGTATGCTGGCTTGACAACCGCGGATAGAAAGACATTACAGAGGGTGGTGAGCACAGCACAAAACATCGTGGGCTGTTCCCTGATACCACTAGATCAGTGGTCGCCAACCGGTGGGTCGCAGCCCAATGGTGGGCCGTGAGAAAATTTTGGTGGGCCGCAGAGAAATCTCACCCCAAGCACCCCCACAAAGCAATTCATCCAGGCTGTGCTGCCCGCATGTCCCGTGAGAACCCCCCCCCCCCCCCACACCCCCTACCCCCCTAACATGCCCGCTAAATTGCTATTTTTCCCTTTTCTGACC